TACAGAGACAAGTCCGCTTCAATTTACGCATTGGAGGACAACATTGAAGCATTTATTTGTGAGCTGGTATGGCCGAAATGTTCGAGAAAGTATGCCAAAATTGGAATTAGCAGATGAACCATTTGAGGCACAGTCACGGTCAACATTTGCATGAAATAGTCTGCAAACATAAAATTATATGGACCGTACTATCGATTTAAATAAAGGTTTCATGCATTTTTCTGAATTTTATGTGTTTTTTTTTAAAGCCTTTCCTATAGCTCTTAAAAAATCACCCTTTAGGAGCACGCTCGGTTATAGAGCTCGTGGAATCTTTTCTGAGGAACAGGAGCATTTTTGCTAAGATGAGCAATGCCGGTAATACGAGATGTACCACAAAAGGCACCCTTGAAGAGAGCGTCTTATCACCGTTGCTAAGATGCCTCACAGAGCGTACGCTGATTCGAAATTTCGATTTAGTCAAAACAAAATCAATAATTCAATAACATAAAATGTCAGCGCAAATAAATTAGAATTTTCATATACTAAATTAAACAGAAAATTATATAATTTTTAAATTATTTTAATTTGAATAAAACGCATATGGCTTACATGCGTACATACATACACGTATGTCGTATGGATAAAAAGGTTACACCACTTTCATGTTCAGCATGCAATGTAACTGGTGTGAGAAATGTATTTTCCACCATTTTTATGTAGATACATACATACTTATTAATATATTATATATGTATATTATTTTATAAGATAACCTGTAAGAGTAACAAATCAGTTTGCAACAATTGCAGACTAATTAACCAAAGAGCCAAAGAACTCTTTTGTTTGTTATGTGTATGTATGTTATGTGTATGTATGTTATGTGTATGTATGTGTATGTGGTTTGTTCTAGGCATTAATGTTTATCGTTTAATAGAAATCTTTGTATGTACAAGCCGAATCGACACCTTTTATGAATATAAAATAGTATAATGGACACACATACATGCACATAGTGTGTACATATGCACGTGCGCTTTTGGATGCACGCATTTGTATGCCGAAGAGCGCTTTCTTAAACAAGTACATATATATGTATGTATATATAGAAGAATGTACGCGCTTTTTCATGTTTTTTTTTTTTTATTTTTTGCCTTCTGTTACATAATAATCTCATTAGATAAAATATTTCATGAACATACAACGCCCCAGCTGAACGGTATTTGGGGGAAAATGTACCAGCGGAAACACTTTAGAGCGAAATATCTGTTAAAAAAAAAACAAGACAAAAACAACGTGTGGCTTCGTATATTACAATATAAATAAAATTAAAAGAAGCCTTATGCAGAACAAGCAGTAAAGTTAGTTAGTGGTAGATTATAATTAATTCCCAGCAAATGTAGGCTCTTTGTGTACCGCCGAAGGCGAGGTTGGACTAAAGAGATGCATTGATTACCTCTGCGAACTGCAAACAATTAGACTAGATAATAAAAGGGTTAGAACTGATTTTTTTTTTTACAAATATTAGGATTCAGGTAAAGAGAAGATCACCAAGATTTTATCAAACCGTTGTGGTGGTTCATAATTTGGACTATCAAAGACGACAACTTTTTGAAAAAAAAAATCCAATTTAAAGTAAAATTTTTATTAAAGTCAGGTTCTTATAAAATAATCTCAAAAAAGACGACATTTTTTACTGTAAATTAGTAGAATATATATACGAGGTGTGTTCAAAAAATATCGCGAATTTTGTGTTTTTTCAAAAATTATTTTTTTATTCATGAATATCTATTTTGTCCCCTTCAAAGTAATCTCCATGAGATGTGCCAACGGTTTTTCCAATCTTCGAAGCACTTCAAAAAATCATTTTTTTTATCTTCCTTCGATGCCGTCTTTATCTCGTCAATCGTAGCGTAACGTCGTCCTTTCATGAGCCTCTTCCGTTTAGGGAACAAGAAAAAGTCACAGGGGGCCAGATCTGGGGAATACGGTGGCTGCGGCATCATTAGTGTGTTGTTTTTGGCCAAAAAGTCGGGCACAAGCAACGATGTGTGAGCAGGGGCGTTATAGTGGTGCAAAAGCAAATTTTTGTTCTTCCACAAATCCGGGCGTTTCTGGCGGATTGCTTCGGGCAAATTGCGCATAACTTGCAGGTAACATTCTTTATTGACCGTTCTACCCTGTGGCAATACCATTTTCTCCATTTCATTAATTTTTTCGTCTGTTGTTGAAGTGTTGGGGCGTCCGGCACACTCTTCGTCGTTCACATCTTCTCGGCCTTCTGCAACAATTAAGTTAAGTGAACATTCAAAATGGCCGAGCTTGTCGGCATAAGTGACAGACATGAGTGCCAACATAACGCCACAAAAATATCGAAATTCAATTATGCGTAACACGCGAAAATTCAAAATTCGCGATACTTTTTGAACACATGGCGCTTTGTAACCTCAGCTATTTCTAGCTGAGCGCTTCTTCCAATTTTTTGTACGCCTTGATGTTTTTCCAAAAAATGGAGGGATCTAAAGTTTATACTAAGTCGCTCCCGAACGGCTGATGAAGTTTTTATCAAGAGCTTTTATTGGCTCTTTTAGTCGTGACTCGAGACTCCATACGGGTTTGTTACTGCATATTGCGCAAGGGTTGCTCACGTTTCCAGGTATTGAGTATTGCAGCCTCACTACACCCCTCATGACAACACAGTCGGGGTTAAAGGTTTTCGAAAGAAAGGTTTTGCGTAAGATTTATGCTCCTCCAAGAGTTGGGCATGGCGAATACCGCAACCGATGGAAGCTGCTGAGCTGTATGAGAAATGCGGCGATATTGACATAGCTCAGCGAATCAAGAGGCAGCGGCTGGCTTGATGAAATGTTCTACGGTTTTGGATGTTAGTCAGGCTAGGACTTCAATCATTGACCGCATAACAGTCCGCATGCGTATTGCGGTGGTATTATTTCACGAAAATAGCGCCGGAGTTCAAAGTGGTACTCTATAATTTGATCCTGATGCCAGTAAGCAAGATTTTTTGGTGTTCACTTTTTTCCATTAAAGTTTCATAACGGGACCAGATCTCTTGGGCATTTTCGAAAATTTCCTGTAACGACATCGATTGGTTTTCCAAATATTTTTTATCGGATGTCCAAGGCGAGTGCATTCCTTCGTATATCTGCTATCTTTTGTGAAAAGCCAAAATTTTTAATGTTTTGGTGGGCTTTATTATGTCTTTACATAGAAAACGATTTGTTGGGACATCAGAAAATCAACGAGAAGTTGTTTCGAATTCAATAGGGGACGATGAAGATTCAGCCCTCTTGCGTATGCTCCGTCTCACTTTATCGTTTATTGAAAGATTACTGAAGTAGTTGCTAGGAACTGCTTGACTTAACGTTCTGACCTACACGTCGGCAAACCCTCGAGTATAATCCGTGTACCAGCAGCTAATTGACCTCTTTTCCGAGAATCAACGGCCTAAGAGGCTTACTAATGGCTCCATTCGCCTTGTGATTTCTGTATATATTTTTCAACATAGGTATGTATATATGTATGTGCACTTAGAGGAGAGGAACTGGAACCATTACCCATTTGGATACATTAAATATGCAATAAATCGCAAAACTTATCAAAGAAAAACATTTAAATGTCGAAAACTTGTACAGAAATGTACGGCAATATACATATACATATGTATATATGTACATCTATATGTATGACCATCATTGTAACCATTGTGAATGCTATGTGTGTATGGAACTTACATATGTCCAAATGGTGTGGCGCGAAGGAATTGCGGAGAAAATCGCAGAGAAATATCAATATTTACTTTTCAGCCGCTTGCTGTCTGTCGTCAGTCCGTCGCTGTCACGCGCGTTGGTGCAAACGGCCATCAGCAACTCCATTACCATCGGCAACACCACCGTCAGTCAGTCAGCTAGCCAGCGAACAACAACATCGCCAACACCAACAACAGCAACCGAACTACTGAAGCGTGATTTATTGCGAGCGAGATGCAAATGCCGAGATAAACTAATAAAAGTTAAGCTTGAAAAATTTTTAATTACACCGTAATTAATTAGTTGACCAGCGGGGCGAGTAGGCTGGCGGTGGGAAGAAAGCAGAAATACTAACTAAAAGCAGAAGCAAACAAACAAAGAAACAAACAAGCAAACTAAATATCAAATCAGCGGCCATACATGAAAATTGGCAACAACAACAGCACTGCGGTTAATTTCTTTTACTACTGCTTTTCATATTTGTTAGTGTAGTGGTACTTCCGCCGCATGTGTATACAAAGCGGAAACCACGCCTACGCCAAGTATCAGCTAACAACAAAAGGGGAAAGGAAGCAAGCTGCCGCTCACAGCGGGCGAGTGAAAGAGACAGTTAAGATTGTTGGGAAATGTGTTTGTCGCTGCCTCCGGTGGAAGAGTGTGCGCACAGCGCTGAATAGCTTCCATAATTGGTGGATTGTCCTTCGGAGCTTATGTCAAATACCAGTGGAACAAAATGACTAACGGAACACTGCAATCTACTTGTCAACGCCTTCCCATATATTGGCGTTCATAAGTCTATCTCACTCGCACACACATGCTGGCAGCTCGTTTAATTTGCTGTATCGGTTTTGACTTTACAGTGGTTCGGTAGCCATTTGCACTCAATACTTCCACTGTCTTCCAGTGTGAAATGCACTCAAGTTGTTGTTGTTGTTTGTTTGCTTGGAATTCAGATGAAGAGTGACTCATTCGCACGGGCCTTCTGGTCCTGGGCTTTATCCAAAATATATACACACACATAGTGCACCCACACAAACCAGCTTCGGCTCAATGCCACTGGAAGTCACTTCTCTGACTCAATTGCGTTAACCGTTGTTCTTGTTGTTATTGCTGTTCTTGTTGCTGTTGCCGCAACCGTTTGCGCTGTATCGCGGTTTTTTTCGGTTACTTTTTTGGGCCAACACACAGGACTGGTTTTTTCCAATTACTCAGTTCTTGTTGGATTCTCAAAGAGTTCGTATTGTTCGGCTTTGTTGTCTGTCAGTGCTCTGCCTCTGCGCGTTCGTTCAGCTGGCGTTTCGATTAACGAGTTCCGTGTGTTTCGAAGTTTGTTTGCATGGCGAGTGCGCGCATCCAAACGTCAGGCAGCCAGTCAGCTAGCCAGCGTACAATTGATCCGCATAAAAATAGTGAAAAACGTGCGTGAATACCAGCGGCTCATCTGCCGTGCCTTAACCGTAGTTGTTTGGCTTGACGCAAAGACAAGGTGGACGCTTGCATTTGCCGCTGTCGCTGCCGCTGCAGTTGGTCTCTAAAGCGTTGTTGTCGTTCTGTTGTTAAATTGGATTTTTGTTTTTATTTTAAACTGCAATGCGGTTGTCGTTCGCGTCCAATAGCGCGTTATTGCGTGTTGTTACATATTGCATTGTCATATGTTTCACTTGTTTTTGAGTTTATTTTTTTTTTTTTTGTAATTTTTTTTCTCTTTGCTTGTGGTCAATGCGTTGGCACGCAAGGGATTAGACGGCAAGAAGTGGTATAACATTTGTGTGTATGTTTGTGCTGTAAAAAAACGTGCGACAAGGTGCTTTGGAATGAAACAAAAGTGTCGAAAATCAAGTGAATAAGAATAAATAATTAAACTATACACAAAACGAGAAACAAAAAAAAAAAAACAAACAACAAAAAAAAAATATATATATATATAAACAAAAATCAGCGTCCAAATGTGTTAAATTAAATTAGTTTGGCACTACAGACGTGGCTAAAACAATGTCAATACCTAATCCATTATTGAAAAAATGTTGATAAATAAGAAAAATAACAAAAAATATTTTATCAACGCTTATATGTACATAATTATACATTTCTTGTTGTTGCGCTATTTTTTTTCGAGGCGGAGATTATATTTTTATGGCACAAAAATGTACATTTAACATTTCCGCATATAAAATAAAATAAATTATATGTATACATTATTATGTATCCAATACCAATTTTCACAGAGTAACAGCAAAAATACAAAAACAAAAAAAACGCTAATTAGTGCTCTAGAAGGCCGCTCGTTACGCCTTCTTTGTTCAATTGCTCAAATTTTTACTTGAAAATTTTCAATCTTCGATTTTGTTTATCGAAATTCCTTTCCTTTGGTATTTCAATGAGTTTTACACTTTGAATGAATAAAATTTAAAATTATAGAAAACAAGATTCGGTGAAAGAAGTCAACATTTTTGCTCAAAATTTTCCGAAATGCGGTTGGAAATTCCAATTGCTAGAATTCGTGCTCGAAAACTTACCAGTAATGAACGGCCGTAGCATGAATAGCAAGAATACAAGAAGAAAAAACCTTTGTACATACTATTTTGATTGTGTAATCATAGAATCGAAATGTCAAATATGAAATGGAAGCAAGAACAAGCAAATCATATGATGTGACAACTTCACTTTCTCTAAATTCGCTTTGAAAATGCACGAGAATGCTCGAATCGCTCGAATTTATGCTCGAAAGTTTGCAATGAAAAGGGTTGCGAGTAGTCATTGCTCGAATGTTCAAGTTGCTCGAAAATGTTCGAACAAAATTTCGAGCTCTAGTAAAGTCCAATTTTCTGATACCAAATTTGGCCGAGGCTCTTAGTACACTTTGTTTGTGTAATCGTGCGTTTGAAATTTCAAAATTTAATTTCTTCTAACGCTAATATTGTTGTAACAGCATTGCTTATGCGTGTATTTTGTTTGTGTAATTTGTCGAAACGTCGAGTTATTCTTCCTTCTATGAATATGCCCTGCATTGTATTCGTTAATTAAATATTTTTTTTTTGTTTTTTTTTTTTGTATTGGAAAAAAATCTTTAAACTACATTTTTTTCATATTCACCAGAATATAATATATTTATTCAAAAAACATTTCAACAATATTTTGCTATATTTAATTTCGAAACATATTTTCGTAGCATTTCTCTTTATGAAAATAGTAAAAAGTTGAAGATTTCAAAATTACAAAAAAAAAATCGTGAATTGCCCTTTTCTAAATGCAGATATGAATGCAAAGAAGTTCAATAAGTTAATGCTGACACATTTCACAGTTTTTTTTTTCTAACTATTGTGAATGGCAGAGGTTGCCTTTACTGCTGTAAAAAGGACATATATTCGTACCAAGCGACCAGCATTTTTATTTTGTGAAAAGTTTTCTTTAAAATGGTTCTTGATCAAGGAAGGCACATATAATTTTATGGGGGTGACCGCCGAAGCGAGATCTCTTCCTCCGATTTGTGGTTTTGCGTTTTGATGTTATCCCAACAAATGGCGGGAACTACAGTCTATACTAAGCCGTCTTCGAACGGCTGATGGTTTTGATTTATGATGAGCTTTATTTCATGTCAGAAATACACTCAGAGGGAGGCGTTCTTATTACCTGACGAGGGGCGATCGCAATTAGAAAAATTAACTTAATTTTGTATTTAAATTGATATTGAAAAATGCCTGGTTATTGTTGGGACCAGGGCTCGAATCCTGAATACGCCACTCGCGGCTGACGTGAAAAAACAAGGCTATGATCCCATAAGGAATAGCGCATCGTTATTTTGCTAAGGGAAATCCAACTTACGCTTACCAAAATTCCACTTCGCTGTACTCTTATAACTGGAAATGTAACAATCCCAGCATGAAAAATGTTGATAATGCTTATGCATCGATTGTTTTGATATTGTTGAATAATTTTTAGAGAAGAATGTTGAGTTCTCTTTTAAATACAGTGCATAACAGAAGCCTTGATACCCTAACATCTCGAGCGCATTTTATAACAAATATCACAAAAGTTATTATATATTTTTAATGTTTATAAAAAATTAGTTGAATTAATTTTTCGAATGTAGAAGGTAATGAACACATATAAAAAAATATTTTACTAAGGAAAAATCGAAAATTTGCCCAGCAAAAGTGTTGAAATTCCTGCAAAAAAAAAAGTTGGAAATTCATAAAAACGCTTAATAAAAAGTTAAAAGAATATGCTCGTAAATATATATATATATATATATATTTAGTCAACCAATCATGGTTTGAATCATTTTCTTTTGGGTAATCTGAATTGATAATTTGCCATACAACTCGGAGCTATCCTTAAAGCTGATTTCTTTAAAGTCATATGGTTTTTCCTTAAACGTTCTTCCAAATGCTCCCATTAATGCTCGATGTGATTGATATCCCTCTCTAGGTTCTCTCGTGGGGCTAATAACAAATGAAGCTCTTTGTGTATTAATCATACCAGTTGTGCGGTATGTACTGCTGGAAATAAAAAAAAATTATTAAAATGCATAAAATCCTCCAGTCAATCACACTTTTTCTGCGTTTTGTAGCAAATTTTCCTAAAGAACTTTTAAATATACTTGAGTTTGTTATAAATTAATCGTTAAAAATAAGGTTGCCAACATCTGATCATGTCCACATCAGATCCACATCAGCTCCGTACAATGACACCTCAACTTTCATGCTTGACCATTTTAATTTTATTTCTTGGTTTTAACATTCCGTTACGCTTCCTCCACCCTTTAAGTCATCAGAAAATTTTCTATTTTAATTCGTCGGAAAAAAAAATTAAATTCTCAGAAAGAACAATCGTTTGAGTTTATATCTAAGTAATAGGAGTTTCCCAATAAAATATGTATTTATGTAGCTGCCCTGCAAGAAGGCTTGCGATCATTTTAGCCAACTTATGTTAGGAATGCATGATGTCATATGCCATCAGGTCGTAGAATAATTTTCCTATCACTTTCTTGCTTATGATGCTTACATTTGTATACGTGTACGTCATTCTCTCTTCGTTTCCTCGTGCATTTTCCCCATTCTTGTCGGACAAACAGAAGTTAAGTAAAATAAAAAAAGGATTATTCGCATCAGTATGTTTTTGATATCTTTAATGCAGTTTTACCTCACACAGTTTTATTGAATATTTTTGAGATGTGCTGATGCTGCAAGATGAGTAACGTCCATTCCAGTCAATCTGCACTATTAACTGAATTTTCCGTACAATATGCACAAATGTGAAAACGCAAAGAAAAATGAAGTATAATTAACTAAATATATAATATAACCGATAATATATTATTACCACAGCTTGTACAAGATCCTCATCATATATTTTTCACTTCTAACTGCTGCGGAGAGAACGATAAAAAGTTGCGTTCTACTCGAAAATAAGCACAAAGAAAATTGGATTAACCGTTTAACTGCATTCTTCTTCAATTTTCAGAAGAGAAAGATAAACAAAAAAATGTGCTTATGTGTTAGTGCTGCCCGGAATCGTGTGACTGTGTTGCTGAACCCATTCGCCCGTTCTTGCAGGATGCTTTCCATTCTGTGCTCAAAGTGTTTGCCAAATCAGCTGATAAGTAAATGCGCATTTGTGCCGTCTGTCAGGGGCATAAATCGAATTTGTATTTGTGGCTTTTAATGCAACTTATTTCAGCTGATCTGTCTTCCATATTAGGAACACTGAAAAACAAGAAAAATGCTTCTCCTTTAACACAGGGAACTTTCATTGATTACGTTAGAAGTGCGCTGAAGAATTGTTTAGTTGATAGTCAAAGATTTCAAATAGGGACAGTTTAATTTTAATTTTAATAGACTTTTGTTTAATTCTTCATCTACTCAGAGTGGTCGCCCCGAGTTCTAGTTGCGCAATATGCCTGGTTTTATGACATTTTCTTCCGTATTTCCCAACGGTTTCGACTATATGACACTATTTCTCGGTAGATGTTGGCCTTGAGTTCGTCCAAAGTACTTGGCTTCTTGATATACTAAGCCTTTGACTTCACTTATAGCTGTGTCAAACCTTGACCTTACATACCGGCTGGATATGATGACGACTCAATACACACGATATTTTCATCGGATCGTGGATTTCTTGGAAAATTAAAAAATTAACGGTAAAAGTACAGTTAGGTTTTGTTTTGTGTGTTCCCATTCATCAAGAATTTAGCAAACTTAACCGAATTGGTAGGCATTTCCGAAGCTGCTTTGCGTCCTGGTAGTAATTTTAATGAAGTAAATGGTACTTGTAAATCTATAAGCTTTACAGCTAAATGGAGTCATTTATTATTAATTATTATTATTATTATCTTTTTATTTTATATGTTTTATTTGAGGCATTTTCCGCTTTCAATCTTCCATTGAGAGCGAATGGGACGATCGATGGATTTCAGGTATTTTCGGATAGTTGAGATATTTTGTTAAGTTTTTATTCCGAACTGCCCAGAACACGAGACCGATCGCA